GACAATTGGTGGGTGGCAATTGGTTGATGACAATTGGTTGATGACAAGTGGTTGGTGACAATTGGTTGGTAGCAATTGGTTGGTGACAATTGGTTGGTGACAATTGGTTGGTAGCAATTGGTTGGTAGCAATGGGTGGGTGGCAATTGGCTGGTGACAATTGGTGGGTGGCAATTGGTTGATGACAACTGGTTGGTGACAATTGGGGTGGGTGGCAATGGTGGCAATTGGTTGGTGACTATTGGTCGGTGGCAAGTGGTTGGTGGCAATTGGTTGGTGAAAATTGGTTGGTGGCAATTAGTTTTAAGAGAGTACCACAGCCACAGACTGAAGGTGGCAAAAGTAGTTTTGTTTCATTTTCTCTCTAGATAGGTCATGGTGTTTTCTTTCAATATGTATTCATTGTGTTTTTTGTTTTCATTTTATCTTCCTTTGGATCATGGTGTTTCCTTTCAATATGTTTTTCTACTTTTTCTGTTTTCATTTTCTCTTCCTTTGGGTCATGGTGTTTTCATTCAATATTTTTTGATTGGTTTGTCCATCTATACCCGATCTCCTCACTTGTTTCTAAGACAGGGACAAGAGGAGGACAAGACTGGGACACAGAGCCCAGCCACAGAGCCCAGCCACAGAGTTCAGGGGCGCTGCCAAGTCAAGGCCAGTGAGTGTGGCCAGCCCTTTTCTTTTCTAAGATAGAACCCCAACAGTAAACTGTTTGGGGAACGATCCAGAAAATGAAGAATCCTCGAGGAATCATCATTTCTTCGTGGATAAAGACATTCACGAAAAAAGGTGGAAGACACAAGGAAATGAAGAACAAATGAAGAATTCTCGAGAAATCATCATGTTTCCTCATTTTTGGTATTCATGTTGTCCTTCATTTGTTTCTTCATTTTCTTATCATTTGCCTTAGTCTGCATCGTTTATGTCTTCATCTATTTTTGGTTGCCATTTGCTATCTTCATGTTGCTTTCTGTCTCTGCTAATGTCCAGGGATAATTATCACTCAATCTATGCCGAAAATCACACAACCACATCAAGGCACAATTTAAGAAATGTCCATGACAACCATCCCTAAACATGAGGAGCAAACACCAGCAATAAACACACCTAGTATGAACCCATTTTTGGTAAACAATGGACACACCCAAAACCAACTAACACAAAATGATGAGAATAACCATGCCTGAAATGAACAAAAAAATGAAGGCCTGAAAGCCAAATGATAAAAACATGCTAGCAACAACCATACCAATAACCATACCCAAATGAAAGGAAAATGAAAACAACACTAAATCGCTCATTTCCAATGTGTGGCTGGCTGGGGATTCCTTAAAATTAGTTGGTGGCGCTTGGTGGGTGGCAGCCCTGGAGTGCATCAAGTGCTGTGCCTGCCACGCAGATCACAGGACCCACCACTCACCACGCAAATCGCAGCCGCGCAGTCACGCCAGGGCGTACATCCGAACCCTTTGAGTCGTGCGCGGAGACCCAACCGCGCCAGGGCGTACACCTGACCCCCTGGAGTGCACCAAGTGCTGCGCCTGCCACGCAAATCACAGCGGCGCAGTGCGGAGACCCAACCGCGCCAGGGCGTACATCCGACCCCCTGGAATGCACCAAGTGCTGCGCCTGCCGCGCAAATCACAGCGGCGCAGCGGCGGAGACCAAACCGCGCCAGGGCTGACATCCGACCCCCTGGAGTGTGCCAAGTGCTGCGCCTGCCACGCAAATGGCGCAGCGGCGGAGGCCAACCGCGCCAGGGCGTACATCCGACCCTCTGGAGCGCACCAAGGTTGGTGGCAATTGGTTGGTATAGCAGTTTGTTGATGACAATTAGTTGGTGACAATTGGTTGGTAGCAATTGCTGGTTGGTTTGCAATTGGTAGGTGGCAATTGGATGGTGACAGTTGGTGGGTGACAATTGGTTGGTGGCAGTTTTTTTGATGACAAATGGTTGGTGACAATTGGTTGGCAGCAATTGGTGGGTGGCAATTGATTGGTGACAATTGGTTGGTGACAATTGGTGGGTGACAATTGGTTGATGGCAATTGGTTGACACAATTGGTTGGTGACAATTAATTAAATTAATTGGTGGCAATTGGTTGGTGACAATTGGTGGGTGGTTTGGTTGGTGGCAAGTGGGAGGCGGAGGAGGAGGAGGAGGAGAGGAGGAAGGAGGAGCGGTTACCACACTAAAAACCAAAATCCCACACGTCAATGTGGGAAAATTACAACTTGTGGCTCCGAGGTGACGGCTTGTAGGCTGTCTTTGTGCCGTAGGAAAGGCCTGGCCGTGGCTATGGTCTTCAGAAGAGTCGTCGAGGAGTGGGTGCTCGCTCAACCGAGGATCAGAGCGCTGATCATTTCCTTCATCTCCATTTCCTCGCCCATGGTGTCCGTGATGACTCTCACAAGCGTGCAAGTGGCAAATTGCACAGGATTTGGCGCGTTTCTGATTCAATTTGAGGTATTGATAGTTGAGCGCATCCGTGTTGCAGTGTTTAGCATGGTGATCCCCACAAAGACTGCAACATTGGCACAAAGTCTGACACAGCTCTTCATGTTTCAGTATATGAGGAAGCTGACCAGCTCTCTTGACAGGCCTGGTGCATGTGCAGGTGGCATTGCGGAGTGCGCGGAGAGATGATTGCAGAAGCTGCATATCTGTCCAAGCCTGCGTGTGAGAGACTTGTAGCCCATCAAGTGGTCGAACGTACCTTCATTAAGGCCAGAGAGGATGACTGGATGACGTCCATTCCCTGTAGTTGGGGTCAATCTCCTTTTGTTTATTTTTGTTTCCAATCACCAAGTCGCTCTCCTAATCATCATATTTCATCTCCATCATGACACCATTTCCTCACCTGCTGTGCTTTCGGGCCCCTCGTCTAGTTTTCTTTCTTCTTTCTTGCTTAGACTTTCATATAGGTCACCCTTTTTTCTGGTTTGCGCAGCTTTGTAGTGATATTTATGCCTGATGTGTGTCAAACGACCTGGTTGTCACCAGTGGAGCAAGCTGGTCTCAGCGGCCACGTTGCAATTTGAGGTGGCCAAGCCAAGAGCGCTGGGAGAGGTGGAGCTTTATACGTATGGGCCATCAGACAGAAACTTGTCAGAAACCATAGGTACCAGAACTTGTGAGAAGTTCACGCTGTAATGGTCTCACCAGCTGGATGATGCTGGTGGAGATCGAAGTGCCCGGAGAGTCCTGCTGCAGCTGCCTCTGCAGGGTCCACATGTAGCGTTGGAAGCGCTGGTCAAGATGATGTCCAGAAGGCCACCCTGATTGGGGCCCCTTGATTGGCCAAAGCCTGTTGGAGCGCATTCGGTACGTGTAGAGCAGGAGTTTCAGACTGCGTGGTTTCATTTTCCTTTGCTTGGCCTGTGGAGGTCTCACAGTTCCTTCATGTCACCAAGGGGTAGCTGCTGGATGCCCTCAGGCACACTTGTTTGCTTGAAGCCAGCTCTGCGGCGTTTAGCAAGGCAAACCAGACAGCAAATCCCGCCCAATTGGTCATTGAAATCGTTAGGCCTGGCGATCTTCGCGATCGCTTTCAGCGCTTAAGGCAGTCTCCACAGTCACCAAGCAGCTAGATGAGAAGAATATCCGCGGTGAAGCATACCCTTGGACCGACGATCTTCATGAGGTCGCCTTGAGCGGATTGCCCATCACCAATGCGTGTCTGTAAATCCCTCATCTCGGCCATGGCCTGATATTGTGTTTTTTCATTTCATCTAGCCTCGTCTGGAGCTGTGTCTCTTGATGGCGAAGTTGTCCAACTCACCCATGGTCAACTTGCCAGCGATGTGGTGGGTTCTGGTACTGTGAGCTGTTCTTGGACTTGAGTGGGTCATGAGTTTATGTGTCTTGAGCACATCTGTCAAGCCCAATTCAGCAGCTGTTGGCTGAGGGTTGACCCCCAGATCTTTCAACTTTTGTTGGGCTCACCGGGATATGGGGCTAAGTGTTTCCGCAAGATCTCAGAGGTGGGTTGGATCTTGGACCTCTTCAATGGCCTTAGCTTGGCCCCGTGAAATGAGGCCCGTGGGGTCCGTGGGCCGTGGTGTCGTGGGTCGGGCCCGTGAAATGTGGGCCCGTGGGGCCCCAGCTGGAAGATATAGGTTTTGAGAAAGCTAGGAAGAACAGGTGATGGTCTCTAGTTTCCTTTGCCGGACCCGAACAAAGTAACAGGTTCCAGGTTTGAGCGGGAAGCGCGCGTGAATGCACGTGCCAGCTTCGATGGGAGTAGCCACCCAAGAAAGGTATGTCAGTATTGCTGCGCGCACCAAAGCACATATCAGCCTCAATGTCGCAATACACGCCGGAACTTATGCCGCGAACACAAACAGAAAAACGAACACAGAACAATTCGAACCACGGCCCCAAAAAGCATACAAGGAGAACACAGCTTTTACCATCATAGCCACGGCAATCTCACGCAACTTCCCACCTGCATAGCAACGCGCAATGACAGAATCACCAGCGCCCGCGGCTTTTTAGGAGCACGGACACTAGAATCCACGGAAAAGACAGAAGGAGAAGACAACTATAACAACCGTAGCCATGGCAGTGCCATGCAACTTCCCATCATCGCAACACAATCGCCTGCGACTATTTCAAAACACGGACAAAAGAAAAACGGGAACCAAAGCAACGAAAATACATACGAGGAGAAGACAACTATAACAGTCGCAGCCAGCAACGCCTCCGCGGAGCCTTTGCTATGTGTATATATATATATGACAACACGGACACCATACCTGTGGCCCACGGATCCCGTGGAGCCCGCGCGTGGCTGTTGGGCCCGTGGACAGTCCGTGGAAGGGGACGGGTGGGCCAGGGACGTGGCCTGTGGACGGGCCAACCCGTGGGCCCGTGAGGGCGGGCCCGTGGGCCCGTGACCTGGATATGACCCTTTCGATTGTGTATGTATGTATGTATGTATGTGTGTGTATGTTTGTATGTATGTAGGTAGGCTTGTATGTATGTTGTGTTTTGTTATGTAATGCAATGTAACATGTAACTTATTTATTGTATTGGTAGTGTAATACGATGTTATGTTATGTTTTGTTCTGTATGTATGCATGTATGTTTGTTTGTTATGTATGTTTTGTTTGTTACTTATGTTATGTATGTGTTGTATGCTAGGCTATGTTTTGTACGTTATGTAAGTATGTGTTGTATGTTGTGTTATGTAAGTATGTGCTGTATGTGTTGTATGTTGTGTTATGTTTTGTTTTGTTTTGTGTGAATGTATGTATGTTTGTTTGTTTTTTCTAATGTAACGTATGTATGTATGTATGATTTTTTGTTTGTACGTTTGTATTAACGTAATGTAAGTAATGTAACGCAGTGCAATGCAATGCAATGTATGTATGTAGGTTGTATGTATGTATGTATGTATCAATGTAATGTGCTGTATTGCAATGTAATGTAATGTTTGCGTGTATGTATGTCTGTGTGTATGTTTGTATGTATGTATGTATGTATGTATGTGTAAATATGGTTATGTACCTTGATTGCAGACCAAGGTGTGTGTGTGTGTGTGTGTAAATTTGGCGTCGTCATCGAGTTCAATAGCTTTGAAGTGTTCCGGTTTTGGGAATTCTGTGATGCAGCGATGCTTATTTTTGCTGTGATGTTCGCAAGAATTGAAAGGACTCGCAGAAGAACAAGAAATTTGTAGGGAAATGGGATGGTGCATTTATGAAATCCTGTTTGCGTCCTCAACTCCTGCAAAAATCCTGCTCCCCCAGAAGTCAACTCCCTGCGGAACGAGGCCTGGATCCTAGTGGGGTCTGGTGTGATCTCCCTACCTCCCCTCACCCCAAAGAACTTTTTCTTGAGATCCCTCATGCATAACTGAGCAGCGTCGCCAAGCAACACTTAAATGTCCTTAAGTTTTTTGAAGCACGCTTAATTCATCCCAACATTACTTAATACCCTTAACGTATTCCAATTTTGTTTTGGAAAGGACATGACGATCTAAAAATAGATTTTAGATAGATTTTCTTCTACACTTTTTGGTTTGGCCGGGGGCCGGGGTTTCCTTTGTAGAACCGCTTTCACCTGTGGAGACGCGGAGTTAAGCGGAGTTCTTCGAGTTTACCCGTTCTCCCGCCGGTGCGTCTGGAACCCAACTATGTTTCTTGTAGTTGGACCGCCATATATTTAGAGCGTATGACTATATAATTCTATTTGCTATATATATATATGTTGAAATTCTGAAGTCCAGGTCCTTATGTGGTGGAGCCACCACAAGGATTCAATAAACATTACCTTTTAATTTAGAAAAACTGATGGCAGGAATAGGATGGGGGTGCTGAATCCTCATGAACTCTGTGGTCCAGTCCAGGTGCTTTTGCCACCTAAATTCTTATTTACAGTGGAGTTTCACCTACAGGAAAATGGATTGTAGACGGGCGTGTTCAAGTCTGCTCCGCTCAGCTGATCTGATCTTGGAGGATTCCTGAGCATTTTGCTTCAGATTGTCTGGCTGTTTCGATTCCGTGCTGCTTTGTGGGCAGAGTCCCTCTTCTGCGGCTGGTGTGCTGCTTCTGTTGCCACAGCGCCCCCTCCTTCCGGAAGCACCATCATCCAGTTTCTTGCTTATGATGATTGATGGTCAAACATCTCAGGAGATAAGAGGTCCGCAGGCACCAACCTGACTTCGTCGACGAAGAGCCATCGACAATAGGCCAACTGCTGTGCTGCTTCAGGTTTCATGGCGCGCCCGAAGCTGTTCTTGCTGATTTTGAAACCAAAAGTGTGCTGGATCGTTTCTCCGCCTAAGTCTGCAGCGTTGGTCGCCTGGATCACGCCAGCCAGGGTGAAGAGCTCCTGGACAAACTTCAAGACATGCGACTTGCCCGTTCCTGGCGGCCAATGGAGGAGGTATCGCAAAGGTGCCGGAGTGATGCGCTACCACCAGCTTCTGGCCCCCTCAACAGCAATCCTCAATTATAGCACTGGATACCATCTGGCGCATCTGAACTGAAAGCTAGTATTATACACATACACACAGGCGCACACACATATACATGTATATATATATATATGTATATGGTACCCCCCCCAAAACCCACCCAAACTCATGTTTCGTTGATATTTACAATAAAACTGCGCATTTTGGGCACCATGCCTTTTAGAAAAAATAAATGTATTGTGAATATACATTCAATCCTGACAGTTTTGGAAATTTTTCCATGTTCATTTGTTTTCTTTTCACAGACTGCCAAAACCAAAAAACAAAAACAACTTGTTGTTTGTTGTTTTGGGCATTGGTGATTGTATGGTTGCTTTTTTGTTTTGGTTTTGTTTTGCAGTTGGCTCTAAGTTCGACTTACTACTATCGCCGCAGCCTTTTTCGAAGCTCATGGTTTTCTTCTGCGTGCGATGGTCCGCAAGCAATTCAATATTTAGAATATTAAAAATACTAAATTCAAGAGGGCTGCCAATTCAAGAGACCAATTTATTAACATTCCAAGACATTCAAAACATTTAAAACAGTAAGCCTAATTTTTGTTAAATGTTGTAAATGTTTAGCCTATTTACAAAAATTGAATGTTGTAAATGTTTAGCCTACCTAAAAATTTCCCATATATTATAAAATTGAAGTGAATTCAATAGTTTAAATTTTCAAATCATTCTTTAATAGGCGAAATAATATAATATCTAACACATTAAACATCAAATTTCATAAAATGGTTTAACTATATTGAATAGATTTGTTAGAATATTTTAAATATTGAATTCAAGAGGGCTGCCAATTCCAGGAATCAGTTTAGTATCAAGCATTTAAACCTTAAAAATTGATTGCAGTTTTAATTCGATATTTTACATATTTAAATGTCTTAAATATTGAATTGATTTCTGGAATTGGCAACCCCTTTGTGAGCTCAATAGTTTAAATATGTGTTTTTTAAATAGGCGAAACATTTAACATATCAAGAACATTAAACTCATTTTGAATTAGAGTATTAAACTAAATGCTTTAAATGTTTGAAATATAGATTGATTCCTGGAATTGGCAATCCCTTTGAACTCAGTAGTGTAAATATTCTCATTAGTTTTTAATGGGCGAAAAATGTCAAAAATCTAACACACTTAAGTCTAAATTGTCTAATTCTTTTTTGAATACTTTAGATATTTTTGAACAGGATGATTTTTTAAAATATTCCAAATATTGAGTTCAAGAGGGTTGCCAATTCTAGGAATCAATTTAGTACAGAAACATTTAAAATTTCCAAAACTAATATCAATTTTAACTCAATATTTTAGATTTTTAATTGTTTTTAATTGTCTTAAATATTGAATTGATTCTGGAATTTGCAGCTCCTTTGTGAGCTCAATAGTTTAAATATATTTCTTATTACGCGATTTTTATTTACAATATTGAATTCAATTTGAATGAAATACCTTAAACATTTTGAACATTTTATACTGGGTGGAATATTTTGAATTTTAAATTCAAGAGGGTTGCCAATTCCAGGAACCAATTGAGTTTTTGAAACACTTCAAAATTTTAAAACATTAAACTCAGTTTTACTTCAATATTTTAAGTGTTTTAAGCTTTCTGCTTTTTAAAAAGTATGTAGAATATTTTAATGATTCAATGTAACTTGAGTGTAATAGTTTTGATATTTCAAATAGTTCGCCCATTAAACGTTAGTTAAAATAAATGTTGAATGAAAAATCTAATTGAATTTTTTAAATGTTAGAAAAATTCAACTAATTACTTGAATTGGCAACCCCTTTGAATTCAATATGTTTAACATTTTAGATATTATTAATAGGCGAAATTCAAAATAGAAAATATTTTGTTTTCATATTTTGTAAAATATTTGTAATATTAAAAAATGGAATTCAAGAGGGTTGCCAATTTCAGGGATCAATTTAATACTAATTGTAAAAAGAAAATGCAACATTAAGTTAAATTTTATTCAAAAAAAAGTTTTTTATTTTCCAATATTCAGCACAAGGATTCTGCAAATACTTCAATTATTGAATTGATTTAGTTGAATGGTTCAAATACTTTAAACTTTTTCGCCGATAAAGTATTTTTAGTGCTGTTGTATCTGCACGCAGTAATATCAATGTTTGAATGGGTGCATCCAAGGCTAAGGTGGGCTTTGGGGGGTTAGTATATATATATATATTCAAGTAGCGTTGCGTCGTGTATAGGCATGTGTTGAAGTTTTGTTCACTCAGGGCCACCGTCACATTGTACCAGGTCAAGGGCCCACTGGCCGCTGCGTGACAGAGAGTGGGGATGGGATGTCACCAATCTTCACCGTGCAGTTTGACTTACGGGATCCATGGTGATCGAGGAAAGCCTCAAGATTGAAACCGGTCTATTTGGGGTTCCCTTTGCATGGTGCATGGTGGATGCTCTGCGTGCTCGAGCAACAGTGGCATTTTTGCAAACCGACCACTCTTGACAAGTCGCGCAACTCGACAGTCAGAAATTGTACCTCTTCCACTCCTTGGTGACCAACTCCCTCAAATGGCGCCTCAGTGTGGTGTCCATTAAGCAGGCCACTCTGCGAGGGTGCATTGCGTGACACTGCCAACGTGGCAGGTCGTGCCGCCCGTATGGTCTGGAGGTGGCTTGGTCATGTCCTTCGGAGGCCTGCTTCATCTATGACTCGATCTGTCCTGCTTGCCCTTCGCCATGCTGCTGGTCAGCGCCGGCATCGTACAGGGCCTGACAACAGTTGTCATCGGAGTGTTCTTCGATACCTTGCACGCAAACACATTGACGTGGAAAGTGCCCGTGATCGTTCCCAGTGGCAAGCATGGGAGCACGACTGACTCCAGCATCTCCACGTGTTTGTGCGCCACTCACTCAGACAACAACGTCTTTGCACTGTCGTCTGGTGAACACTTATGGGACAAACGATGCTTACAGGGCCTGTACCATGGACAGCAGCTCTTTGTGGTTGAGGTCTCTGACCCAACCTACTTTCATTGTCTTGAGCTTGATCGACAAGAAGGGTGGAGACACTGTCGGTTTCTAGGGGGTTCTTTCATGTTGTTTCTGCATGGCATTGAGCATACCACTTGGGTGTGGCCTTCTACCTTTCATCTCCGAGTTCTACTGTTTCAAGCTGATTCTGGTACCAATGCCGCCCAAGCTCTTCTTTCTGACCTCCCGTTGGCTTTTCCTCCCTTTTGCTGTAGGCTGTAGACGGATTGTTGTGGAAGCATCTTCGTTACCCATTCCCTGGTCTGGGGGGATGTAGCAGCTTGTGTCGACACTTGCTCGCTGACACTCACATCGAGGGCTTTGGGCCTTTGCTCGCTGTAGACACAGGCATCTCCTGGAGAGGGCGATGGAGAGAGAGCAGGGCGGGCCGGGGCCACCCACCACAAACACCAGCGCATGGACACCCAACAACAGCCAAGCACATACTTTTGCTTTGCAAATCGATGCCAGTGGCTGCCAGTGTCTGCCAGTGTCTTGGCCTGAACGAATCACAAATCAGGATGAAGATCCCTTGTAAGGCACTCCTCTGATCTTCGAACCTTGGCCACGCAAGTCCATGTGGAAATCCAATGTCGCACCAGAATCCATGAAGGCCCGACGGCGGAGGTCATTGAGACCAAACTTCACTTGACGTGGAGCTCCAACAGCTCCAACAGGAAAAGCCTCACCAGCCTGATGCCAAGCCAGTAGGCAAGAAAACCCCGCAGAGAGCAAGTCTTCTCAATGACCAGGCAACCCGTGACAAGCATCACTTTGCTGAGGCCTCTGGCTACCTCAAGTGCAATGTGGCACAGCGCTCCTCAAGAGATCCACAGAGGAGAGGTTCCGCGACTTTGTCCACAATGAATGCGCTGACAGAGCCTACACCCAAAAAGCCAAGCGACCGTGCAATCAAGGCAGCCCCAACATCACTCCCGCAGACGGTCAGTTAGCTATGGGACCTCGGGCTCGCCACTTCGAAAACGAGGAGGACGAAGACACCTACATGTCACGCGAATGTGGATTTCTTTTGAACTGGGGCCAGCCGCGCTAGATTGCCCACAACGGCCCAGAGGTGAAACGCCTCAACTCGTGCAGCCCCTCTAGGGAAAAAAATCCATACATCCATCCGTCCGTCCTTCCGTCCTTCCGTCCGTCCATCCGTCCGTCCATACATGCATACACGCACGCATGCGTACATGCGCGCGTGCATACATGCATACATACGTGCATAAGTCAAGTTGCTTTATTGCCATCACTGCAGAAAAGTTCCCGGTTATCCGAGACAACGGGGGACTGGCAAGTCTCCGCGCTTTTTGTTGGGACATGGTGACATGGCCGCGCAAAGTTGGAGAATATACCATAGGTGACGGTGAAAGCTACTGAACATGGAACAGCCTCCATCAGTGCGAGTGGGTGCGCGATTAGGGCACTTACTTCGCGAAGGGGCTTGCTCCTTCTACAGCTGCTTATGGGAGCGTTTAAGGCGCTTGATCGGGCGAGAGCTTGGCTTTTCCCAGCGTGCTTTGAGCAGAAGCGGAGGAGAGTACAACCGTATACCAAACTGGCAACTTTCATGCGCGGCGACCAGAGCTTCGCCGCAGCTGCAGGAACAACCAGCAGGAAGCGCGCCCACCAAAGAAGGGCCTAAAGTAAAACACCCGCCCTTTCACAGCGCACAACACATGGAGCAACGCACACACACTTGAGATAATGCGTACTGAGTTGGATGCCATATGCCACACGGCAACCTATAGGTGAAAAAAGGGGCCTGAACAAAACGGGCAAAGTAGGTTGTAGGCCATCGCTAGCAGGTTGGAGGCCATCGCCGCAAATTCTGGAGGCCATCGCTAGTGTGTGGAACCCTTGGAGTCACAGGTCGCCTTATGGACTTATGGTCTGTAAGGCGGCAGGGGGACCAGGCATTTTGCTGCTGACCTAGTCTAACAAAGCTAGGCAGCAAAATGGGATGGTGGAGTTGGCCACTCCACTGAGTACCTGCCACCCACTTGTGTTTTGCGTTTGTGTCTTGTAAACTGGAAGTGCTGGCCTTCAACCTGGTGCGATGGCCTTTAACGTACTAGCGATGACCTCCAACCTGGTCGCTTGATGCAGTTTTGAGTTTGCGCTTTGAGTTTGTGTCTTGTAACTAGTAGCGCTGGCCTGCACCTGGTGCGATGGCCCCCAACGTACGAGCGATGACCTCCAACCTTGTTGCTTGAAGCAGCTTTCAGTTCGTGCCTTGTGTGAATTGCAAGTTCGTGGAGATAGGGGCTACGCTCAGTGCCAGCAAACTGAAATGTGGAGTGGTAAGCCTGATGAAAATCTGAGCCTTAGGGTTAATTTGCTAAGCGGTGAGCCTCGAGCCCGGAACCTGGCAAGGATATCTTGGGATTGCCGATGGAAGCTTGGAGGGCTTTAACTATTTTGGTGTGCAGGCTTCCCGTTTGCCTCGCGCTTCTTGCCTAGAAAGCAGCGCAGGGTGCGCTCTGCGGTTCTGCAGGCAATTTTGGTGGAATCGGTTGTGGAGTATGAATACAATGTTGTGTCAGCGCATTGCAAGAAAGATATTGCAAGGCTCAGGATGTTGTAGGACAAGTGAGACATATGTCTGAAAGGTTGTTGTTTTTGACGACTCTGACCACTGGGTGGAAGATGAGCAGTATCTGACTGTGGAGAGGCGGGTGTTTTTTGGTTCTTGGTCGCTGTTTGATCAAGCATATAGGCATTTGTATAATCCAGTGGTTGAACCATGTCGAACCGATTGCCGTTATAATCTTTGTGTGACGATGAGGACTGCCAAATGGGTTTGGTCATTGGTCACGCCTTTCCGCCTTGGGCGTTTGATGGTGCTCAAGGTCCTGAGCGCTGACAAGACTTACGACTTACTGTAGTTATATAATTGTTGTGTTGACACTCAATTCACACATACTTTTTTGGGGGGTCCCAGTCCGTAAAGCCATCACCAGATGCCATACAGGTGCGATAATGCACGTCAACAACATCAAAGTAGATCAACATGTCGACAAGTTCGTATTTGTTAACTCAAGATGGTAACCAAACCAGGTGTGCTGTTTTGCCGACTGACTCAACCCGCTTTCCGGCATTGTACGAGAGGCTTGCAGAGCATCTACCTAGGGTGACCGGGATGTGGAGAATGAGCAACACAGCACGAGGCAACGGTGTGGCAAGGCAGATGCTGAAACTATTAAATGAACAATAATTTTCGAGTGTGTATATATGTATATGACACAAGGGGAAATTTATGCAAATTGGGAGCTCAGAATGTTAATGCGTGTATCTCACCGGACCAACCCCTGTCGTAAGGGCGGTCCTGAGCACTTGACATTTGAGCTAAAAACCTTCTGAACTTATGCCGCTGCTTTGAGGCCACGTGCTTTGGATAGCCAAGCATTTTGTTGGCTTCTACTTGGATTTGGATGCTTGGTCTGCCTGGTTTGTTCTTGATGTCACGTCTTCCATCCCTGTGATTGGCAATTCCTTTGCCTCATAATGTGGATTTTGTCTTGTTCCCCCGCTTTGAGGACCGCAAGGCTGATGCATCATTTGGAAGTGTTGGGCGTTGCTTCGTGGTATGCCTTTTGGCAGTCTTTCTATGGGCGCAGGCGAGCAGCGTGAGCACAGGTTTGCAACAAGTGCATTGTTGCAATGCGTCTGTGTTGCCCTGTTTCATACTCACCAAGGCAAGGGGCATCCTTTGGCTTGTCAAAGCAGCTATCAATAGCTTCTCTGATGTGTTTGTTGCTTGGCTGAGCTGGCAGCTGCTAGCGGACTTAAGGGTTTGGGGTTCACTCAAACCGATGCCATCGAGTGTGCCCCCCATAGCTTCTAGCTCTGTAGCATGCCTTGAAACAATAGTTTACAGAGGCTGAGATTGGCCCTTACTCATTCTTCCTTTTTGCTGTTTGATTGCCCGGTGCAAAGCCTCACACTGTTCTTCTTTTGAAGGAGAAGGAAGACGTGACGAAAGAGCAAGGGGGTGCAAAAGCGACGAAGAAAGACAAGTAGTGTTTCAACGAGCTAGCATCTCCTTGACTGATGCACACAGCTCGTTAGCGATTCAGACATGGAAGGTTTCACCCCAAAGTGATGCGGCAATGCAGTGACAAAGAGCTTGTTGGAGAGGGCATTCTCGATGCCAATTCGCGTTCAGCATTCTCAGGTTGCAGAGTCTTTTGGGCATTTCGATATTTTTACTTCTTAATTCCATGAAGAGCGATGCAGAGATGCGTGATTCTACAATCCACAGGGATGGCTCCAGGACGTCCAGAAGAAAGTGAGCGCAGTCAGCCAGTCAAGCTTGGAGTTGTTGGGTAAGGGGGTTTTGTATAGCACACTATATTATGTGCATTCGTTTGGGACTTTTAGGGCCTGTTATCATCGGAGGTGGCTCGGAGCTAAGAACTCCCAAAATTATTCTTGACTTTCTACAACTTTCCTTCTTTTTGGTTTGAATTCTGATTCAATTGTATCCAGTATGTTTGTCTAATGGGCAGGAGCTTCCTCAATCACACTGAAGATATGAGGTGGCCGCAGACCGGGCAGTTCAGGAAGCTTGCCCTCGGCGCCGAGTGCTGCCAGGCAAGCTGGGGAATACAGCACGACGAATAGTAGTGAGTGAAAGTGGTTTGGCCAGTTTGGCCTGGACTCTTGAAGCAGTACAGGCTACGAGTGGATGATCTTAGTCCAACTACACCCCAGCAGGCGGAGATGCAGGAGAGCACCCCTCAGCGGGATGGAACCGACCACGGAAGTCTTACCGTGTAGACACTCGCACACGGAATCTAGAACACTTCCCTACTCTGGCTGCATGTGTGCTGAAACATGCGAACACGTTCAAAGCTGAGCCAGACTTCCCAAAACACCGCGTATCCATCAATCGGAGCCATTTGTTCATTTATTCCTTTGGGGGTTGAGGATGTCCCGTGTGTCAACTGCGCGTGTGTGGATGTCTTGGAAGTGCCAACAACCTTTCTCATGGGGAGCATACACGTATGGTGTCATGAAACGCCACGGGTGCTGTAGTCAAAGTGTAGTGAAACCTGTACAACCTACAGTAACAGGATCTAACAGGAATCTAACGTACTTGTAATGTTTGTCGACTGTACCTCAGGTGTGTTTTGTTCCTCCGGTGTATGACTAATCCTTCTGAAAAGACTGTTATCATAGAAACTTTGACACTTGGTTCATTGGTCATTGGTGCCTAGTTTGGGAAACTGTTTGGGAGTTGGTTTGACTTGTGTTTATCACCTTTTTTCTTGATGAGGACATTGCGTGACTGAGTGTATCCAGGCCCTAGGCATCGAGCGCAGAGCAACACGTCTACTTGGAAGTACCTGTGAGCTGGGCCCAGCGCCTGTTTTCAGCATAAACTGTGTCGATCCGAAGCAGGGGCGACAGATAGCAGTCCTGGAGGGAACTCGAAATCAGATCCGTGAAAATAGCGGGGATGTTTAGGTTTTGAAGGGCTCCGCTGGGCGGGGGTTGGCGGATGCTTTTCTATGACAGTTGAGAATATTTTTGAATATAGTTGACGTGCGAGGATTTCTAGCTGCACCGCAAAGAAGACAGTAAATTTTTATATATGTAGATGGTGCGAAGACATGTTTCTCGTAAAGCACCTAGCGTTGCAATGCAGGAGGATGACCTGACCACACGGACGCTGAATCAAGTTCTCGACCCTTTCCTGGATGGGGTGAGCCTGCTTGGCAATTTCAAACATCGATCAACCACACTCTCCGAATCTTGCCAGGAAAGAACTTGCTCAACGAGGGAACAACAAGTCCTCTTGCTACAACGTTTTCTGAAGGCTGGAGCCTAGGACCGCAGGTAAAGATTTGGCAAAGTTGTGAGAATGGATCTCTGGCAAAATTTGTAGTGTGGCAGGCTGTCCCGGATCCCTTGAAGAGATGGAACGGGTGCTGGGCTTGGTGACTGACAGGGGCTAGCAGCAATCAGCTTGCTGCAAGCTTTAGTTCTATGCTCTTCCGACATTTTTCGAGGCCTACTGGTCCTTTGATAGCTGTTTCACGGGCAGGACGTGCAGACTTGGCGGAGTCCCAAGGAATGCCCCAATGCCTAGGTGAAAGAGTTCCAGAGTTGCTGGATAAAACGAGTGCAAAGGAGTCCAACCATGGAAAGTAGTCTTGAAGGTCTCAAAAGCACCAAAGCGGTAAAGTTGGAAGTTTCACGGAAAAGCAAAAGCAGCGTGGTTGCCAAGCTCACCAGCACTTTACGTGTTCTTATGAAAGCAGGTACTGTACCGAGCAGGATATAGTCCGGTCACAGCGCAGGTACGCTGGGATGATCAGTCCCAGGAAATCGAGAGTGCCTTCGTTGGTGACAGACTCTCGTTCCTGCTGCCACCCCCTGTTACTACTAGTAAGATTAGTAAGGCACTTATTACTAGAAGCGATGCACTTGTTCCTACTAGCTTCTTGTTACTACTAGTAAGGCACCTGCCAAGAAAATTGAATATATACTAGCCGAAAGGCACCCTTTGACTCCAAGCCTTACACTCTTGAGAAAGAGCTCGCATGAGCATGTTTCAAGGTAATCCCAAAGATGCATTACCCTTTTTACGTTCTAGGCAGCATTGTTTTTGGATTTTTCAAGATTTCTATCTTTGGTATGCGTGTTGGTTACAGTGTTTTAAAGAGATTTTGTTGTATTTATATATTGAATTTGCTTGTGTTTACAGCACCTGGTGTTGATTTTTCACTTGTGCTTTGTGGCATTTTTGACATTTGACTGGGCACCTGGTGTTCAACTTTCACTAGTATTTCAGGCACATATATATTATATATATTTACACCACTTTGGGCACCGGGTGTTCAGATCTCCAGCGTGTTGGCTGTCTTGGTTTATCCTCTTGTTGTTCTTGGCATTCCACATTCCACGCCAATTGAAAAAGCTATTGCTTTACAATGTCGTTCTGCAGGTGCTTGCTTCAGCTTTCATGGTTCTCGATATTTCTCTTTCAAGAGCAAGCTATCGTGAGTCCATGTTGTTTGATTTCCATTTTTTGCCTTTGCCTGTCAAACGCTGTGCAGCGGAGCTTGCAAACAACATAAACATCATGTGCCCATAGTGCTTTCCGTAGTTTCTACTTCAGTGTTCAGGTTCTGTTGATGTTTCTAAGCCTGTGGGATTGCCCACCGCTAAACCTTGCTGCTTGCAGTGGGTGGAAGGTGGGTTGATGTTGATCCGCAAAGACATTGTATTGTGGTGCTGGGCTGGGGATGTGAAGACAGCGGTGAAGGCTGTGGGTAGTGTGCATGTGAGACGGGTAAAGGTTGTGGTGTCTGAGGGAACGCCGATGCTGTTGGAAACTGTTGATGCGAGGCGGGCCAAGGGAATGACGTGGCTGCGATGGTAATCACACTGTATCAGCGCGAGGACAAAAGTGCGGAATGTCACTGACAGATAGAAACTACTCGTAGGTTGAAATCGCATCATGCATGAGTAAGCAGTACGGGTGAAACGTATTCCGATGTTTTGAGTTGAACAATAGCGGTCATGAAATGCTTGTGTCCAGAGACGGCCTTCAGAAAAATGCCCTCCTGCGAAGGAGGAAACTTTGTCAGACAGCGCCCGAATGGGGATTGCGCAGCATACCACAGTGGGAAGATGCTGCGATGCATACTTGAGAGAGAGCTCGTATGAGCAAGTCACGAAAGCTAGCCTCAGCTAGCTGGAGTTGCTCTTGCGATAGCAATTTAAATGACGGGGTGGACGTCGCCCAATTGATTAAATCAATCTTATGGACCCCCCCATTCAACTCCTCCTGCGGACGGGTGAGTGGGTGAGTGTGACAGGGTCTGATGCGCTCTTGGAGATGACCATGAGCTTCGCATCTCATCAAGCTGCCTCATGAATACTTTCCCATACTAATGCCACTCTGCTTGCTGCTTGCTGTTTGTATCGCTCTTACAGCAACCACAGTTTACAGTACACGAAACACCGTTTACGCCAAAACGCCAAAACACGGTTTGCACCAACCACTGTAGTCTACACCACGGTCTGCACCAACCACGGCTTACACCAGAGCACGGTTTACACCAACCATGGCTTGCACCAACCACCACCGTTCACACGAAGCCACGGCTGTCACCAACCACCGTTTACACCAAGCAAAGACTTACACCAAGCCTGTTTTCCCATAATATGCCAGGCATCATCCGCTGTTGCTGCTTGCTGGTTGCCAACCACCGTTTACACCAACCACGGTCTACATCAACCACGGCTGATACCAAATCACGCTTTACATCAACCACCTGTTAAACACGAAGCCACGGCTGTCACCCACCGGCGTTTACACCCAACCGCGGTTTACACCAAAACTGTTTGCTGCTGCTGCTGCTGGGTGGTCTGCTGCCGCTGCTGCTGGTGGTGGTTTGCTGCTGCTGCTGCTGCCTAGTGGTCTGCTGCTGCTGCTTGGTGTTCTG